CTAACCCTAACCCTAACCCTAACCCTAACCCTAACCCTAACCCTAACCCTAACCCTAACCCTAACCCTAACCCTAACCCTAACCCTAACCCTAACCCTAACCCTAACCCTAACCCTAACCCTAACCCTAACCCTAACCCTAACCCTAACCCTAACCCTAACCCTAACCCTAACCCTAACCCTAACCCTAACCCTAACCCTAACCCTAACCCTAACCCTAACCCTAACCCTAACCCTAACCCTAACCCTAACCCTAACCCTAACCCTAACCCTAACCCTAACCCTAACCCTAACCCTAACCCTAACCCTAACCCTAACCCTAACCCTAACCCTAACCCTAACCCTAACCCTAACCCTAACCCTAACCCTAACCCTAACCCTAACCCTAACCCTAACCCTAACCCTAACCCTAACCCTAACCCTAACCCTAACCCTAACCCTAACCCTAACCCTAACCCTAACCCTAACCCTAACCCTAACCCTAACCCTAACCCTAACCCTAACCCTAACCCTAACCCTAACCCTAACCCTAACCCTAACCCTAACCCTAACCCTAACCCTAACCCTAACCCTAACCCTAACCCTAACCCTAACCCTAACCCTAACCCTAACCCTAACCCTAACCCTAACCCTAACCCTAACCCTAACCCTAACCCTAACCCTAACCCTAACCCTAACCCTAACCCTAACCCTAACCCTAACCCTAACCCTAACCCTAACCCTAACCCTAACCCTAACCCTAACCCTAACCCTAACCCTAACCCTAACCCTAACCCTAACCCTAACCCTAACCCTAACCCTAACCCTAACCCTAACCCTAACCCTAACCCTAACCCTAACCCTAACCCTAACCCTAACCCTAACCCCTAACCCTAACCCTAACCCTAACCCTAACCCTAACCCTAACCCTAACCCTAACCCTAACCCTAACCCTAACCCTAACCCTAACCCTAACCCTAACCCTAACCCTAACCCTAACCCTAACCCTAACCCTAACCCTAACCCTAACCCTAACCCTAACCCTAACCCTAACCCTAACCCTAACCCTAACCCTAACCCCAAAATCTACACGAAACCCTATTTCCAATGTTTGTCTTTGTTCTTAGGGTTCTTATGTTTTTCTTTGTTCTTAGGGTATCTCATGTTTTTTTTGTTATTACGGTTAGGGTTAGTTTTTCTTTGTTTTATGAATTTCTTATGTTTTTCCTCATATTTATGAATATCTTATGTTTTTCTTTATTTTGGGTGTCGGAAATAGACTTATATTCCATAGAGTTAGGGCTAGGGTGTCAGAAATAGAGGGATTTGGCTTAGGGATGGGGCTAGGTGTCGGAAATAGACGGATATTACATAGGGGTAGGGCTAGGGTGTCGGAAATAGAGGGATTTGCTATAGGGGTAGAGTTGTACGCTGTGATATAGGGTAAAATCGCCCGAAATAGTGTAAAACCGACTCGAATAGGGTAAATACGGTCGAATCAGGGTAAAAGGGGTTAGGGTAGTCTTTTAACGGTCCAATAACACTATCATAGCGTCAAATAGGGTCAAAAACTGGGTATCCGTGACTAGGTATGGTCCTGCAGACTGCCCAAAACGAATAACTCGGGACCAGGGTGCCAACTCGTCCCTAATGCTCTAATACATTCCACATACTCGCGTGCATCCAGTACTTCCATTGATATGTGTACAAAGTCGAATTGCCTTAGGGTTTGTGCACAAGCCCTTGCCCTATGCGTTAACGCATATACACACTTGAAAAAAACGACGAAGTACTAACCCATTCCCTTATATTTGACCCATATTGACTTATATGTTTTTTACACGTTTCAGACCATTTTAGTATTTCTTATGTTTTTCTTTATTTTGGGGTGTCGGTAATAGACAACTTTTGGCCATAACACCTGACCCCAATGACCTATGACCTTGACCTTTAAAGTCAGAGGTCAGGACCTCCCCCGGAAGTTTTTGACTAAGTCACAATGTTATGCTCCCCAGGGGTCAATGGTTATGACCACTCAAAGTTTTTTTCCTATACTTTGTGCAGTACCCTTTGACCCCGTGACCTTTGACCCCTAGGGAGCATAACCTTGTGACCCCACCAACAGTTGCGGGGGGTCATGACCTTTGACCTCAGGGGTCACCGACCTTATACTCCGAGGTCGGCCTACAGAAGATCCCTTAACTCTAACCCTAACCCTAACCCTAACCCTAACCCTAACCCTAACCCTAACCCTAACCCTAACCCACTCTAGAAAACAGGTTTAGAGGCAATTCTGGGTTAGTTTTATGTGTCGCAAAAATGAAAAGAACACTACAGGGAATCTTAGTTTTAAAAAAATGGGTTGAAAGAGTTTTGACAGTGTGAGTATAATGAGTTATTTTCACACTTTTTTTAACTATACAAAAACAAAGATATGTCACGGCAGTTCCACATGCATAGCGCGCTCAAACACAAAGGTTCTGTAATGCGTTAGTTCTGTATTTGTGATCTCCAATGCCGGTGACGTCACACAACATGGCGCCGTCCACATACAGAAAAAAAATCGATGTTTCGTCCCAAATAATGTCAAAATTAGACACTTTAGAAATACGTTTTATTTTCAAAAATGACAGGCAATGACGGGATATGATGTTTTCTTTAGGAAATAAATGAGAAAGAGGTATAATATATATGCCAAGGTGTGTTTTAGGGGAATTTTCGCCAACATTTTTGCAATGCGGGATGAATTTATTCGCGTATCGAAGACTTTTAAAAGCCCTTCAAGAAAGGGGAAATGCAGTTTTTCAGAAGAAATCTTTATGTTCATACCATTATTCATTTATGAAAATAGCCAAATCATACTTTTTCTTGGTCGGGTCGACATTTTAAAATAAAGTATAGACGTTGAAAGTCAGCCTACAATTCCAAAGCTTCGCTGAGAATTCGGGCTGCTGCATCGCTGGTTCACGATCTAGTATTCCACTAATACATGCAAACTGGCGCGCGGGTACCAACTGGCCTAGCGCCGCGTGTGTTGTGTACACAAAAGCGCCGTATAACGTGTACACATGTACAGTACATGTGTACGTAAAACCATCGCATTTTACGGATAATCGCAAGACATTGAATAAAATTTAAAAATACATAAAATGCAAAACAGATTACATAGAAATAAAGAACCATCTGTCTTTAGATGAAAACACTCACTGTGGACAAAATAAACACACAATCCGAAATTCACAAATGTTTAGTGTTGTAGTTGTACAGTAAGTGAGTGAGTGTTGTACAGCATATTAAAGCAGCACAATCCAAAACCAAGCATGAATTTGCCATCAGTATGAGACACTCTATCCTCTTAATATTCTGGGGGAAGTTGCTGACAATTAATTGGATCTATATCTTAAACAAAACAATAACAAATAGGATTTGTTTGGCAGTAAACGCATTCTTTATTTCACAACCAATCCATATCATTTAAAAAAAAAGTTTCATTTACAGAAGTGAAACTTCACAACAGCCATATTTTACAAGTAAATAAAGTGCACATGTAATGCAAGCATGAACTCAACTAGTGAAATCAGGTTTGGCAAGTGATAAAACTATGAAAAGTCTGAAAAATTAAATAGGGTAGTTGCAGTTGATTCAAGAAAGTGATTCAAAACTTCAACTTTATGAAAGGGCAAATGGATTTAAGCATACCCTCACACCTGAAGACAGTAAAGGTTTTTTTTTTATATTTATTTATTATTACTATTTTGTTGGAGAAAGGAGCTTGCAGTTCAACTGCACTATTTCATGAGTGGTGGTGATGGCAATTTCAGGTTGCAAATTTTCGCTTCATTAAAATTTCACATACGTACGTGTACACGTACCTGGATGACCTGCACCAGATTTACAAAGCACATCACTTCACAATTTAATGCAAACACAGTCCACTGTGAAGTTCTTTTCCAGTGTGAATGCATCATACATCGTCAATTTTGTTAAATATTTTAGAAAAGTTTTCACAAGTACAATCGACGACTCTTTGTTGACTTTTCGACGACTATTTACTGTTCTTTGAATAAATACATTACATGAAAATACATGTACATGTACATGTAGTCACCTTTTGTTCTTTGAGGACAAAACAGAAACTGTCCTGATCAAAGATTACCTCCAGTTATCTCCTAAATTCCCAAACTATCTCAATTCTCTCAACCCCCCCCCCCCCCCGGCAGTAAGATATTCATTATGAAATGTTTACGTCAACTATGTTTTTCAAGCATCTGGGACAGGGAGGCAGCGAACAGACTACACCTACCACTCCCAATTCAGATCACACTAAAAATACATGTACATGTACTCCACACCATGGACTATTTAGGTTCAGAGTGCGGGTTGGGCTGTTTGAATGAACATGGCCATGTCGTGGCATGGTCAGGAACTGATACGGAGTTCAATCGCAATGGGTGGGTAGTACAGATCAGATGCGGAGGAATCCAAAGCTCGTCCATTATACGCGGCCATGCATGTCGTTGCCATCTTCAATCCACAAATAGGAAGAAACTCATCAAAACCTGAAAGCTGAAAGCACAACAAGAATATAACAAATGGAACAAAGTTAATGGGATACTTTGAGATGCATGGTGGCAGCAAATACACCAGTCCTTTTCTGGTGTTGATGTCAATTTGAACATGTGCACATTAGGTTAAATGTGACGTAAAAAAATGAAAAGGACAGGTAAAAGGAAGCGTCTCAAAAGTCTCTGTTGAAATTATTGCCATGTTATTTTCAAGATTGTTGTCTGTGCCTTATCTTAAACAACTATGCTGGGATTTTTCTTACATTGAATATGAGTGTTAAAAGCTATAGAAGATAAGAAAGTTTCATATTTTATCTTTTTTCTATAGGCACAGACATACATGTAAACATGTACTTGTACATACATGTACATGTACATGATGTATGTACATGCATGTACATACATGCCATGATCAATTTCTAAGTAAAATAATATCAAGATGCTCACTGATGTTGTCAAATTTTCTGAAGGTATCCTTCGTCAGGGCAGGGTACGTCATCTGCGTGTCATGGTGGAATGCCGTACACTCCGCATAATAAGAAATGTAGGCCAACCTCCTCCACAGCGTCCGAGAGACAACCAATAGGTCTAGATGGCAAATTAAAGTACACATTCAAGTTCATGTACAGTTACGTGAGCATGCATTACATGGGTTTCGAGTAAACTCGGTACCCAACAACCACAAGACTGTTACCGACTCGGTCCCTAACTGACGGGGTCTGACCGTCTGAGACAGCATGGCCAACTCAGTTCCAGGTCAACTTGATCCCAGGTAAAAATGTATAAAGTCGGTCCAATGTCAACTAAGTCTCAAGTCATTTTAGTCCCAGGTCAAATTTGAAATTAATGGAAAAATACTCTACAATTATATGACTGAGGGCGAAAAAGAAATAACCTATTGACGGACCTGGCAATGTAACCTACATGTAGGGCCTACATGTCAAATCCATTGTTTACGCATTTGGAACATACAGTACACAGTTTCCTTGAGAAGTTTTCAAGAACATTAATTAAATGAGCAATGTCAGGTTCCTGCCTGCAAAGAATGACCTCCATTCCTCCATCATCATGTTCCTGCATGATGCATGCCAGCAAATCCTGACCACGCTGACTATACATGAAATGTGAAAATCATATTGAAATTGGAGGATTCAGGACTGTTAGGATTAAGGAATGCATTGTGATTATTTATTACGAATACGATTTTCTGGGTAATTGCAACTAGCAAGGCACACTGGGCAGAAATATTTCTTAGATGAAAGTCTTCTACATACACGAGTCGTTGCGTCGTCCAAAATTGCGTGCTGTGGGATAGCTCAAGACGCCTACGCTACGACTGTTTCATGTAAGACATTACTGTAATGACTTCCTGTCATGGCGCGGCGTACGTACACAAAATAAATCCTTGTGTCGCCGGCTAAAAACAAGGAGAAACTACAAAAACTACATCTTCTGAGCAGAGTAAATACATAATCTGTAGGCTAACCTTTGAGATTTCCGTCTGAATCTCCGAAATCATGCCAAAACATGGCCACGAAGGTCCCCACTCGTCACGCCATGACACTGCATGTACACTTCGTACGTTGCGACTTGACGAATTCCTGTTTTATTCACCCTCAATATTTGCTAAAATCTCACAAAAGCATGTCGACCCAAACCTTTCGTTCATATCAACGTGAACCTAGATAACCCATTTATTGATAGATTGACCAAGTATACGTCACAAAACTGTATTTTACTGATGATGTTTTCTCGAAGTGGAAATGACGGCACGAAAACGCTAAATCGTACCAGGTCACAAGTCACACGCTGCATAAAAAACACACATTATCATAATTTGTGCACGCTAGATGGCAACTGTCGACCGTACATAGCTTCATTGATGTTTGTAGAGCCTTATTTGGTAATCTGTTGCATATTCATTTTAATAAACCAATCAATCTTTATATCTTTCGCGGGGCATTTAAATCCATCAACGAAACAAAGGGATCGCTGCGCGTAATGTTTATTTACATCGCGCTAGGTTGTCACGTGGTATTACCACTAACTCCATCTCGCCAACAAAGGGCGTACTTTTTTATGCGTGAAACTGCCGTGATGTCCACGCTATGTAACGTAAACTTGGGGGCAAGTTCGCGCAAGAACTATAGTTGACCGTTGGTTAACCATAGTTCGACTAAAGTTAGCCCGAACTCTGTCTAGTCGACGGTGGTTGACTACGCTAGTCGACTATTTGGAACCAACCTACTGGGGCTGGTTGCATCGCTGGTAACCAATAGCTGCGCGCATTGATAACGTGCAGCGGGAGCCAGGGGCCAGAAGTTTTGCGATGACATTTTGACCAGCGTTTGACTAGAGACGTTCGCACGCTGCTGTTAGTGTGCAGGCGTAAGGTACATCACAAATCAACTACTAGTCGACTAATGGTCATTTCCCGAACTTGGCCACGGGTGCACTTGTGTTAGTGTTTATTTGCTCGGCTGATGTACTTTGCGTTAAGATGAAATGAACGGAACGACCTGCTACCAGTCCAAATTCGACTGCAAAACTTATAAAATACATAAGACGTGAACAAATACACATTTTGTTCCTTCTGAATGTTAAGCAAAGTCTCGTCATTTAGTTAACGAAACCGTCTGTATCAACTTTATTTTACCAACAGAGAGCGCCTCCAGCAACACGAACACATTCCTCGTATCAAATAACCCATCCCTTCAATTCTTTCGTTTTTGGTTCTGTTTACTAACCGTTTGTATATTATTTACAGGCACTAAGGCCCTGAGACAAGGAGCTTAAAGACATCAGTTTCAATATCATAATCACCGAGCCAATTAGTGTACACATTGGATCGACGCTCTGTTATGTTGCATCTGTCCCGCCTAGGGTGTATTTATGCATGGAGTCTATGGGCAAATGACTCGTTAGGCTTCCCTACCATTGTAACGAAGAGGTTTTATTTAATATTTCGTATTTCAGTGTCTTTTGACTCGTTCAACGTATCCTATCAACACTGCCTTGAACATCAAAGGCAGAATCTCTTAATTGCAATTTCAGTAATATTTCTGCCCTCTCGATCGCTGCGTATCGTTTTCTAAATGTTTATTGTATACCCAGTTCTGTAATGGACCAACCTTGATTGCTGCCGAGGATTCTGTGTTAATTACCGGAAGCTGCTTCTGCTCATTCGCGGTGCCGCACCGTTTCATATCGATTTGGACTGTATATGACCGCGATGGTCGTCATTGTTCAATTTCAAGACGACATTTTGTTTATTTCAAGACGCTATTTTGTTAAAACTGGAAACTGTAATTACAACGTACTACCCATTGGCTGTTACGTTACCCGCTTCCAGCATTAGCTCCAACCACAATGTAAATCAAACCAATCAGAAAAGTTTGTGCCTTCGTGGTAAGTTCAGGCTCGTCCCTGATTGGCTATAGGCATGCTATGACGTCAGCCTGTTCGTGGTCTGCGGCTGTTTAGCTACTGAGGGAGCGAGTGGCAGTTATGTACTCGGTGATGTACGATCAACACTAACGGAGCCTCGATCATTGCGCCAATTAGTTTTGGTCTCAGTAAGTCAGGCTCTTTCCTGCAGATCGTCGTTCAGTACTCTACATGCGTAGCTGGTGTGGTGTGTGTGTCGTTCATTGCATCAATCAGAGAAAGTTTCCAGTAAGGTTTTACGTTGATTCTGTTGTCCAATAGTCAACGTGGGTATAGTTACCTTTTTATAATTCGCGTCAGTGTGTGAGCCGTTAAATACATCTCAGCAGATTGTGCTCAGAATTCACCTGCATCTTTGACAATGGACGGAGCAGCAGCTTTGGTTCTGATGTTGTCAGCAATGGCAGGTAAGATTGAATAATTTATCACCTGTGGCATGTCTATCCTCTGACTGGTTGGTTGGCAAAAGTAGAAAAGCTTTATAGCCTCATCAGGAGCGGCGACACAATATGCATCCCTCCCATTTATTTCCAACATGAAACCCTTATAGTCCAGGCACAAAATTGAAAAGATTTGTTTTGCACCACATTCCTAGGTCACCAGACTGACATACTAAAAGTCTTTAAAAATCCAATTGGTGGAAATCATGCCAAATTTGCATAAATTGTAAATACCTGTCATGTAATAAATTGGTACATTTTTTTTTTTTTTTGGAGAGATTTATATTGGTGAATCTACTTTAATACTCATCCTTACTTCAATAACATTTTCTAAGGCATAGAAGTGACTGAATAACTATAAGGACATAGTAACGATCCAAAATGGCTACTGTTATACCTTAAACTGAGCGCAGTTACTTTGTCTCCGTTATTATCGAGTATCTTGCCAAACCTCAGCATGAGTTTCAAACCTTCAAACCTCAGGTGAGCTTCGAATTCACCAAGTAGCTTACTGGCACAGTTACCCTACTAAAACCTTATGGAAAGTCAAGTGAACTATGACAAAATTTTTATATCAGGTGCAGAAAACAGAAACGGGGAAAAAACGAGGTGTCGGTAAATTGGGCAAAAAAGTAGGCGAAGGGTTGCCTGGCGTGGGGGACTTGAACAAGTTCCGTCACAGAAAGTACCGCTTTGACTTTATCATTAAAAGCTTTTAATGTTCCGATCAAATACAAAAAACCTTGCTTCATATATAACAGCCAGATATTTCTGTAAGAAAACATTGAGGAATGTTGAGCTGGAATCTTCAAGTTAGGGACCCAAGTAGCAGTCGAAGCCGAAATGCATACGACGCCGAGTTTTGGAATACACCTAGGTTACCCTCGTCGGATTCCAAAACAAAATGACGCAGCAAAGCTCGCCCCTCGTACTATCCGAGTGCATGAACTATACGACATGCAGCAAAGCTTGCTCCTCGTATCATCAGAGTGCACAAACTATACGAGATCCATCAAAGCTTGCTTCTCGTACTGTCCAAGTGCACAAACTAAACGAGATGCAGTAAAGCTCACCTTTCGTACTATCCGAGTGCACAAACTAAACGAGATGCAGCAATGCTCGCCCCTCGTACTATCCGACTGCAAAAACTATACCAGATGCAGCAAAGCTCGCCCCTCGTTCTATCCGATGCACAAACTAAATGTGATGCTGCAAAGCTCGTCCCTCGTACTTTCGAATGCACAAACTGCAAAGCTCACCCCTCGTATTAACAAGTGCACAAACTGTGCGAGATACAGCAAAGCTCGCCCCTCGAACTATACGAGTGCACAAACTATTCGAGATGCATCAAAGCTCGCCCCTCGTACTATCCGAGAGCACAAACTGTACGAGATGCAGCAAAGCTCGCCCTTCGTACTATCCGGGTGCACAAACTATACGAGATGCAGTAAAGCTCGCCCCTTGTTCTATCCGCGTGCACAAACTAAACGAGATGCAGCAAAGCTTGCCCCTCGTACTATCCGAGTGCACAAACTATAGGAAATGCAGCAAAGCTCGCCCCTCGTACTATCCGAGTGCACAAACTATACGATGCAGCAAAGCTGTACAGCAAAGAAATGCAGCAAAGCTCGCAAAGCAGCAAAGGCTAACGAGCTGTCCACTCTTTCAGCCGAACTGCTGTCTTTCGCCAAGTCTGGTCGAGTTGCAAAACTTAGCAGATCGCTGTGCACTTGTGTAGGGTTCACATTTTCCCTATCACGATGAACGGGTTAGTACTTGGCTTACCCTGTTCCGCGCCATCTTGCCCGGACAGGAACAGCGTCAAATCGTCTATGACTTGACTCTCGCGTTCTAAGGCGATTGGCGTTGACCCTGCTCGGGATTTTATCCTTGAGCCTGAGTCTTTAACAGGCGTACTTTCCATAAAGCTGGCCTCCCTCCCAGCTCCGTCTAGGAAGACCTCCACTCTAGTGAACTCTTTCACCTGGGCCATGCGCGTCCTTGTGGGCGAGGCCGTAGACCTGGGCGTCTCCATGGACATCTCGCTGCCGTGAAGACCGGACTTGACCCAGCATGGGGGGGGGGGACAGGCGGGGGGTGGGAGAGAGGGACAAAACAGCCGTGTCTGGGGCCGTCTCGTCATCTGACGGGGCGGTTACAGGGGTCTCTGGTGGGGGGTTTGCTGGATTTACCGGTGTGTCTTTGGGAGCTGGTGGGCTCCCAGTCACTACCAGTTCTGCCAAAGATTTAGACTGGTACCTGACCTTCTTCATGGCTGGAGATGAGATGCCTGGTGGAACATCGTTGGCTAACAGCTCAGGGTGGCACATCTATATATGCCTCTGCAGGGCCGCAGTGTTTGCATGGCCGTCTGGACATCCCATCAGCATTTCCATGCTTCTTTCCGCTTCTGTGCTCTACGACTAAGTCATATTGAGACAGGACTTCCATCCACCTTGCCAGCTGACCCTCTGGGTTCTTAAAATAAAGTACCCACCGCAATGCGGCATGGTCAGTTCTGACGGTCACTTTTCGGCCATACAGGTATTGTTTGAAATACTTCAAATATACCACCACAGCCAACAACTCTTTGCGAGTGACACAGTAGTTTCGCTCAGGTTTGCTGAGGTTCCGGCTTGCATAAGCAAGCACCTTCTCGTCACCATCTTGGACCTGGGATAGCACCGCTCCGAAACTGTCACCACTTGCATCGGTGTCCAAGATAAAGTCACCCTCAGGCACTGGGTATGACAGAACCGGAGTGGCCTGGAGCCTGCTCTTCAGCTCGTCAAATGCCTGTTAACAACTGTCAGTCCATACGAACTCCTGTGACTTTTCGGTCAGGGCATGGAAAGGGCTCGCAATTTTTGCAAATCCCTGTATTAACTTCCGATAGTACGAGGCGAGATTAAAGCTTCTCACATCTCCTACATACCTTGGAATTGGCCAGTTTGCCACTGCTTCAACCTTTTGGGGTCTGTGTCCAAACCTTCTGATGACACGATGTGCCCCAGGTAAGCGACAGACTCCTGAAACAAATGGCACTTGGCACAAGTGTCTCAGCCGATCAAACACCACTCGGACGTTCTAAGGTCTCCGGCACTGTTCTACCGAACACAATGATGTCATCCAAATATATCAGTAGGATTTCCCACTGTAAGCCGGCCATGACTTTTTCCATGAGCCGCTCAAAGGTTGCCGGGGCGTTGCAAAGCCCAAATTTAAAGGGCATGCACCTCCATCGATACAACCCGTTTCTCACAACAAATGTGGACTTTTGACAGGCGTCCTCGTCAAGAGCGACTTGCCAGTACCCCGACGTTAAGTCGAGTGTACAGAACCACTTTTCCCCTCGCAATGCATCGAATGTTTCATCGATGCGCGGGACAGGGTACGCATCTTTGACAGTGACTGAATTCAGCTTTCTGTAGTCAACACAGAAGCGCTTCTTACCGTCTTTCTTGTCAACCAGGACAACATTAGCTGCCCAGGGACTATCAGAGGGTTCTATTACTCCCCGCTTCTCCAGATCGCTTATTTGCCCCTGGATTTCCTGCTGATGCAGGTATGGATGACGCCTCATCCGCTCTTTAATCAGCCTAGCATCACCAGTATTTGTGTGATGCTTGACCACGTCCGTGCGACTGATGTCATGGTCACCCTTGGACAACACATCCTGGAAGTCTATCCGACATTCCCGGACATCACCATGGTACTTGGCCTCTACTTTGGCTGTACCCTTTTCATATAAGTCTTGCAAATGCAGGGGCAACTCCTTCCCTGCGTATGCATCCGCGTTCAATTCATCATGAATAGAACTTGCCTCAACTTGGGAGATAACCCCCGTTGTTGTTCCCTCACGGGCAACTCTTTTCTCCCTTCCCGGATTAAAGACCCGTAGCGGAACAACATCAGCTTCAGTCTCAACCAGAGATCTGGCCAACAACAAGCCTTTCTTTGCTAGGTCACCACCACCTTCCACCGGTTCTACCATGGCTGGCCCGAGCAGTTTGGGACCCTTCCCAGCAATTTTGCTGGGAACCACTGCTTCATGACCTGGTGGGATTACCGTAGTTTTACAAACTACAACGCCTCCCACGTAGGGCTCGCCTGCATCATTTGTGCACTTGATTTTCTCACCATTGAGCCTCCACTCCCTTAATTGGAAGTCCATGATTCCAACTGTTGGCATGAGAACATCCATGCCCAGGATGCCACTGTATTTGATCTAAGCAAAAACAGCCTTCACTTGGTGCGTGGTCCTACCAACTTGCACCTCAACCAGAGCCATGCCAAGCACAGCTAACTGGCTTCCGTCCACCTGTTTTACCTGGACGTCTACCGTCTCCAAGACAGGTCTTTTCTCTTTTGGTATTTGGTAATACACCGCACCACTTATTAGAGTGTCGGTGGACCCCGTGTCAATCGAGAATCGACACTTGGTTGCTCTTATCAACCCAAACACAAACAACTCATACCGAGGACCACGGCTTGGATAAGACAGAGTTATTACTCATTGCCCATCCTCATGTTATTTGGACCTCCCATTCCCATTTTTGGTTTCATCACCGAGTCTACTTTTGGACCCTCTCGACCACTCAGCCTTCCCGCGGGTCCTCCGGGGCTGACCGTTGTTTCCCTGCTTTGGAGTTCCTCTACACTCCCGGGCGAAAAGCCCTCTCACCACATTTGAAACACTTAAATGTTCCAGGTTCGGCTTTCCCGGGCTTTTGTACGTCTTCTGAGACATCACGCCCTTGCCGTGTCCATGGCCTTTGCTCTTGTCGGACTTGACTAACTCAGCCACAGATTTCAATGTCTTGGCCTGCTCATTGAGACTTTCCTGTACAGTCTCTAATCTCTGGTCTGTTACAGAGTCCATAGCCCTCGCCAATTTGGCAGCCTTCCGTCCAGCAATCTATGCTGTTCGACCTTCTCAAAATTTTCAGTCTCCAGGGCAGCCTGGACTGTTTCGTCCAAGGATTTTGGACGGGCCCTGTTGATGCCCTCTCTAATTGAATGGCTGTCAACGGCATCTACGAAGTGGTTCTTTGCCAACTTCTCTCGAGCCTCTTCCAGTATTTAAGGGTATGCGCGCACCGTTAACTGGTGGATTGCTTGACCTAATTCTAGCAATCCCTCTTTCTGCTTTTGGCGCCGGTGTTTAAGCTCAACGAGATAATTCTCACTCGGTCGAGCTGACCCAAACCTACGCTCAAGCAACTCGACCAGCGCACTGTACGTGTGCTTTTGACCTGAGTCGCACAACAACCGTAGAGCATCCCCTTGCAAGCTTGCGGATAACCACTTCGCAGCTTGCTCTTCGCTCCACTGGTTTACCTCACGGCATGACTCAGAATGGCGGAAGTACGCCTTCCAGAGCACTTTCCCACTATACCGGTTAGGGATTATATTTGGCCTACAATTTGGTGGCACTACACTTCCCTTCAGATCTATGTCGCCATGGACACGTGCCTCTCGTTTCAGTGGCCAAGGACCTACTGACGAGCTGTCCACGCTTTCAGCCGAACTGCTGTCTTTCGCCAAGACTGGTCTAGTTGCGAAACTTAGCAGATCGCTGTACACTTGTGTAGGGTTCACATTTTCCATATCACGAACGAACGGGTTAGTACTTGACTTACCCTGTTCCGCGCCATCTTTCCCGGACAGGAACAGCGTCAAGTCGTCTATGACTTGACTCTCGCGTTCCAAGGCGATTGGCGTCGACCCTGCCTGAGTCTGTCAGAGGCGTACTTTCCATAAAGCAGGCCTCCCTTCCACGTTTGTGGGCCCAGTCAGTCACCATCTTTGTGTCTGACTCTCGTCTCCCCGTTGCTCCAGAGACATACCCAGTAGTCTCTTCGGGCAACCTCAGCTCAACATCGGTATCTACCTGATGGAATATACGCCGGCTCTCACCTGGCGTGATTGTGTTCCCTCCCTTTGGAGAACCACCCGACTGCATCTCCATGGCAGCCTCTAACTTCTTTGCAATGAGATCTTTTTCCCACTGCAGAAATTGAGCTTCCATTCGCAGTCGCTGCACCTCGGCTTCAGCACTTGAGGTGCCCGCTTGACCCTGCGAGCCTACGCTCATAATTGAAAACAACCACAACAATCACACTCGAAAACAAACAACAAACAACCGATTAAACCACAGTACAATTAGCAATACAAGTCAAAACACAAAGTGCAATCAAATAATTTAACAGCGAAATCACTTTATCAATTATAATCATCCCACTTCTGACACCATTTGTGGCGGGGATCTTCCCGGGCAAAACCTAAGTTCGTTGGGACCAAGTCTGACACCTATTAAAGTGTAGCTGATCTTCCCGTACCCAAGCTTTCCCAAGACAAGAGACCACTCAGAGCGACCTCATGGCTTAGGGAGCAGGTCCGTTTTGGAGGAAATATACTGCCGATTATGATGATTGTGATAACCCTCTGTTAATTGCACAATAAACCAACAACAAATACACCTGGACAACAGGAATGTCGGCACCACAAATATAATCGTAATTTATTAAACAATAATCAAGAAATGTGCAGTAGTGTTTGTGTCTGACAGCTCACCTAAGCAGCAACGTGCACAGCCTCAACAATGCGTCCAATGTAAACAATGCACACTACGTCAACAATGTACACTAATGTAAACAATGCAACGCTAAGTCAACAACGTACACTAATGTAAACAACACACACCAATGTAAGTAATACACACCAATGTAAGTAATGCACGCCGATGTAAGTAATACACGCTGTTCAGCCTTAACCTGCTTTACGCTTTACCCATGCAAGCTAGCGTCAGCATCGTTCGGTACATTCATTTGTACGGCTGCGCGTCAGCATCACACAGCGCAATTTCAGCACAGTTATGGCCAGCGCGACAGCATTACCCAAAACACAGAGCGCGAGCAATACACGACCACACCGTCCGCTGTCCACAGCACAACTCCTCCGCGCGATCAGGTGAATAGCCCTCACGTGAACATGCATACGCCGTACAAACACATATGCATGTACTTAACCTATGGGCCTATGACAACCAAAAGCGTACGTGCATTTTGGTCACTGGGGTCTTACGCTCCCCCCAGTCACCGATGCACAGGGAATTTACGTTATTGCAATACGAATGACGTAGTAAATAAACTAGCTATACGTCCCTACACTTTCCGCTACACTACCTCACCTAATATATAGTCAGAATCGTTTGGTGTGGGAACCAGACTAAAGCGGGGGTGGCGTGGTGATCACCATCGGACTATAGAGAGCGATGTTCGTCATTTGTGTATGTGCAGACACACCCATACGGGCACTTTATTCGTCAATTATATTTTGCGATTTCAATGAAAACAGTTGTTCATACACTGTGAAAAACAATGCATATTAGTTTACATTAGGTTACATTAGGCATCATTGGCTTTCATCTGTGTTTTTATTTCAATTTATTCCAAAGTGTTGTTGATTGGTGTGGAGAGCCAGCAGAGGGTGTGTTACTCCGGTCCCCCACCGGAACCTGATCCTGATAATCCGGATGACTGGATGAAGCAAGTCATGCAAGAGATACGGAAGCGTTGCCCGGGAAGGAGGCAACCTACTCCAGCTGCTGGTACGATGTGGATTTGTTCTATAGGTTATACATGTATTGCATTGAGATTGAACATTCTATTTTGAATGATGTTAATTGCGATGCTGCAATTGACATTAAACACCTGCTAATGTGCGAAATGAGGAGATGCTTGTCGTGCTTATTTTGTTTCACGTTTGACTTTTTGCCTCAAAAATGTTATACGTTCGACTCCTCCCATTTCGAAAAAAAAAACAGTTTATTTTATGCAAGTCCCTAGAGTAAAACCAGAAAAAAAGATCAACAACGGAAAAATCCGTTGGTGCATGGTTATGCTCTATGTATTTTCATCCAAATTCAAAACGTTACTTAATGCCAATTTGGGGAGGGGAATTGTTCATATTTGCAATCATGTTGGCCCTGCTATCATTCTGATTTATTTAAGGTAAAATTTGAAGTTATTATTAAGCGTTTTACCCCCAATCACGGTTTAGGATCAAATGATCTTTCTCATGATAAGTGTTTGTTTTTTAATTATCAATAATTATGAATAAATATTCCATTTGTTCACTCATTTGTCACCAGCAGAGTGTTCCAGTCCGAAACCCCTTGGTATGGAGGACGGGACAATCCACGATGATCGCATCACGGCGTCCAGTGGTTACTCCGCTAACCCTGCGAGTCATGCACGCCTAAACAATAACAGAGTATGGGTAGCCTGGAGGTATGTATCAAAGGGAAATACCTGACACGTAACTCTCATATCTATATTCCCTCTGTATCATTACAATGCCACAAAACTCTCCTGAATGTGTTTAATTAATGAACATCTAATTGAATCAATGTTTTTTTTATGTTATGTTTCATTGGCGGATCCAGCGGGGGGGGGGGGGGGGGCGCCCCCCCCCCGGCAAATATTTGAAATGTATACTATCGGTGAAAAACGGATGGTGATCCGACGAGCCACCCGTTTTGAGTTTGAGGAAGAACAATCGTGCAAAAGGCGTTGCAATTTTCACGCACCTCCTAAGACTTTATGCGCGGGTTATGATGGCCGCACGATACGCGGATAAAACCAAGGTAAAACAAACTGTAGTGGAGTCTCATTTCGCGTATTTTTTAGCGCGTCATACGTCCATGAGACTGCACGCGGACAACTGCCGCGTACAATGCGTATGAAGTTCAAACCGTTTTCACGCTCTGGGCTTGGTGACTAAACAAAATCAAACAATGGCCACTTCAGATTCTATCAAAATGTTTTTTGATACGTTTCATGCCAGTTTGTCACACTCCCAAAATATGGATCCGCTGTAATGAAATATTCAAATTCATGTCAGTTATGTGACCGAGCGCGGAACAATTACAAATTATGTGCATGTTCTCAACTTAAGTCTTTGAATGCAGAAGAAACTTCATAAGAGCAAGAGTATATAGGCCTATATGTATTTGAAACAAATGAAACAAAATATCCCCTCATAATTTTGAAGCCCGAGTCCATCATTTGTAGCCAGTGGCGTAGCCAGGAATTTTTCAGTGGGGGGGGGGGGGGGGGCCGCTGGGGGGGGGGGCTGGAACATTTCATGGGGGGGCGTCAAGCAGGGGCGTCAATCGCTTCTCAAAAGTGGGAGGGGGGGACATACCTTGATCATAACTGATGCAAGCGCGAAGCGCGAAGCCCTTACGGCGTGGGGTTCGGGGCCCGCTTAAGGACCCCGAAAAAAAATGGATTCCAGATGTTCTGTGGTGCGATTTGAAGCAATTTCTTACGACTTTCCTCCATGCTTTAACTAATATTTTCTGGGCAAAAGATAATTATTTGAACATCGTTTTCGAGGTTGGAGACATTGAATCAGCTATCGGTATTCTGAGCTATGGGCGTGGGGTTCGGGGCCTGCTTAAGGGCCCCGAAAAAAATTGGATTTTCGATGCTCTGTGGTGTGATCTGAGGCAATTTCTTACCACTTTAACCAATAATTATAGCACAAAAGATAATAATTTAAACATAATTTTCGAGGTTTTCTCAGCTAAAGGCATAAGAAAATTTTGTGAACATTGTTTTTGAGGTTGGAGTCATTGAAACAGCTACCAGAATTCTGAGCTATAGGCGTGAGGTTCGGGGCCCGCTTAAGGGCCCCGAAAAATGTTGGATTCTAAATGCTCTGTGGTGCTATCTGAGGCAATTTCTGACCACTTTAACCAATATTTTCTAAGCAAACGATACATTGTAGTACATAATAGGGCCCATGGTGTCATGTAGATCAATGATAATTTTTTTAGAAACTCAAAATCTCAGTGGGGGGGGGGGGGGGCGACTGGGGGGGGGGACAAGGTTTCATGGGCGGGGGGGGGGGGGCGACGCCCCCCCGGTGGCTACGCCACTGTTTGTAGCTATCCAAAAAAGTAACTGGCGTAATCATTGTTGAAAAACATACTGGTTGAAAGATAGTAAGGGGACTAAACTCCCTGTGAAATTATCCTTTCTGGCAAGCTCTCATTTTGAAGAAATCAACGAAAGAAGGCATTTCCAACGGTGCATCTTAAGAAGCACCGTAGGAAAATTTAAAGTAGTAGTTCGTTTTGTTATTCGGCGCAGCGCGCACAAGCATTGGAACGACGCACAGGCGCGCGCGGTTGCTATAATTCGTCGGATCAGTGCGCGACATCGCGTATAGCTGCAATTCAAAACAATTCGAAACATGATTTAGCAACTTTTCATTTGAAATTGAGATCCTAGAATGCTGTTTTCTCGGAATATAAAGCTGAAGCTGAGCTGAAACTTCATCAAGTAAGTTGTTCAGTATCCTTCATTAGATTTTGAACACTTTTGTTGCTTCAAACGAACAAAATGCACTAATTACAAATGATGGACTATATTCGGGCCCCGGAACCCATCATGCCATAAGGGCTTCGCGCTCCGTGCTCCGCGCTCGCATATTAGTCCTCCGGCCAAATTTCCTCTATGCTATAATCTCCCCTAGCGGTGCCCCACCTCTTTTGTACCTTCAGCAGCGAATGGCTGAGGCTCGGACTGCAAGTGGCCTAAATCCCTTTCCAAAATTAGAAGTTGTTAAAAACTACGGAGATGGAACATGGTTTTCAACTTTGAGTGCATAACAAACTTTATTAAGAACAAAAAAAAATAACAAATTTAAATGGAATTTTCGATGTTTAAAACGTTTTCTAAACGGTAGAAAGTGGCCAGGAATCTCCTCAAATTGCACCACAGAGCATCTAAAATCTAAATTTTTCCGGGGCCCTTAAGTGGGCCCCGGACCCCACGCCGTAAGGGCTTCGCACTCCGCGCTCGAAGGTCCTGGACCCTTCATTACAATTCTAGCCCCCCCCCGGCAAACGGCACTCTGGATCCGCCCCTGCGTTTTGTTTTATTTTGTTCAACAATCTTTTTCTTGTTTAGTTTTCTTTTTCATTATATAACACAAATATCATCCCCGGCCAAAGCCCAACCCGGATGCGCATTTGAATTGCACACTGTAACAAGTTTCAATAACTGTGTTAAATTTTCAAATCCATTCCACAACCGGATTTGCGGAGTATTGTTATTTCATTGTTCCCGCATCCTCTCTTCCCTCTGTGTACAGTAGCGATGCCAATCCCTGGATCGAGGTGGACCTCGTTGAGCCTACAGTGGTGAGCGGGGTCATCACACAAGGCCATTACTCTCGCGATTATTATGTGAAGAAGTACAAGGTGGCGTACAAGAAGCAGCCCTCATCTGACTATGAACACGTAACAGATGGAAACGGAAATATCAAGGTGAGTATCAATCGTGACTAAGTCTTGCTGTAAGCTGAATTTAACTGTTATACGTTGGACAGTTAAAAAAAAAATATAGTACACGTAACTTTTTCTTTAAATTATAATTTCGTTTGGGCTTTTCTCGCATTTTGATAGCTTTATTTTGTACGACGTTATTCGGTTCCATGCTAATGCAATCATTTATCCATTCTGAAATCGTGTCTAATTATAGCAACCAAAGAAGCAACGACAGAAAATATTGATGCTAAATTCTCCTATAGAAAGGTTATTCATGAGAAAATTGCTTTTATTAAAAAAGAGGTAAAATGCTCTGAAGCTGAAGTAATAACCCATGGAGCCCAATCTAGCGAGGTTTATATGGCTGAATATGAACTTAAAAGTGAGTCCCACCCAGGACACACAGTTTACTTTTTATATATTTACGGTTTGTTGGCATTCTGTTTGGAAGGACGACTCCCTCTGTTGAGATTGCCCGCTCTTTTAATGGTCTTGGTCTAAGACGTTACTGCAAGGAGGCTACTTTTGTTGCTAACGTGCGTTAATTGCATTGGGATTCATTTCAGGTGTTCATCGGTAACACTGGTGACAACACTCCAGTCACTAACCTGTTTGCTGAGAGTGTGGTCGCCACGGTAGTCCGCATTGAGCCTATTGAACGGTATCGGTATGCTGCTCTGCGATTGGAGCTGCTTAGATGTCGCCGTGATTAATTCAGCTGAAGCATTCAGGTTATTGTGTTCGACACCGCTGACATTTCATTCAATGCAAAATAAATTCGACAACTATATTGAATATTGATTATTAGAAAAATTAGTATATTTGGTAAGAGGAATATTTTTCAGAAAGCAAAAACAAACTGAGGATTTGGAATAATCACTATAAGGGCCCTTGCGTGAATTTGTATCTTGAAAAAAGTGAAAGCGCGGTACGTGTGAAAACTTGGCCTTGTGTATCTCTTGAAAAGTTATAGCGGTTTTCTTTTCCTTTTTTTCATAGTATTTTCGCTTTAAGTAGAAACGTCTAAACTATAATTGTAGTACTTTGTTGTACAGTAAAAACAAAATATATATTAAGCTGTGCTGCCATCTTAAATCTTCAATACAATGTATTATGTTCATACATTGTTCGAAATACAGAATAAAAAAAGAATAGAAAAATGAACTGTCAAAATCGCAATACACAATTGACCAAAACAATAAACTCGCAAAATCAGAGTGAATTGTGGGAACGAGAAACCTCTCGATAATTGAAATATTTTAGTAATCAAACTGTTTGAATAAGGGCAGGTTCATACTACACTCGAATTCGATTGCGAAGCGCATCTGACGTCAGGAAGCATTCGCCGATAAATTCGCCTGAGTTGAAAAGTGTGTTTTTTCTTTTGCCAACTCACAGCGCGGCAAATTGCCGTGACAACACAAACTCTCGTTCGCGTTCGCTTTTGTGCCGAGTATGATGGGGCTTTTGCTTCTAGATGTTATTCACTGTGGTATTTTGCTGTAAATATAAGACAATTTTAGTCACGATATTAAATCATTGTACAATAATTTAGGTGTACATTTTGGTGTTAGATGTATAGTGTATTGTTACGGCAAAGTAACATTTTATTGCCAATATATTGTTATATTGTTAGTACAGTGTTGGACAATTTTATCAATGTGATGCCTTATTGCTGTGGATGTACAGGTTTATCAGAATTCCAAAATTACAAACTTTTAGAGGTCAAATACTGTGGAGGTTAGCTTTTGTGAAAGCAGGAATCTTAAGAAAAGAAAAGAATAAAAGAGAATATTTCCCAAATATTCGTAGTTCCGTGTGAATATCGACGAGTTATCGTAAAGAGAAGCTAAGAGGCAGCCATCTTGAGCTCATTGAGGGATAAACCAGTGTTGTGCATTTATTATTCAACTGCTGTTTTTGCTCAGCGGTTATGTTCCTATCTGTGAAATAAAAAATGCCTATAAATAAACCATGTATTTGGTCTTGCTTGTTTAGTATTTGCTTGATTTGTTCCATGCTCGAATCATAACTCGAATCGGATCAGCAGATGTGCATTGCGATAGGATTAGAAAGCAGAATGGATTTGCGGCCAGTGCACATTTGATTGTCTGTAAAAATGACCACTATTTCGTCAGCAAGGAAATATGTATATTGTTTTCTCTTCATTTTGTGTTTCTTTCTTGATTTTATTTTTGTCAAGGGAAAGAAGAAAATTCCCTTGGTCCCCCTCCTCGTGACTCCAATGTTACTTTATTGTACATGCTGTCTGACAAGTGCACCATGAATAGATGACGCGATGAACGACCCATCATGGCCAAGTTCGGGCAAGGACCATAAGCCGACTAGTGGTTGATTTGTGACGTACCTTACGCCTGCGCGCTAATAGCAAAGTGCGAACGTCTCTAGTCGAACGCTGGTCAAAATGTCATTGCAAAACGTCTGGATCCTGGCTCCCTGCTGTACGTTATGAACGCGCGCGGCTATGGTTACCAGCGAAGCAACCAACCCCAGTAGGTTGGTTCCAAATAGTCGACTAGCGTAGTTAACCATCGTCGACTAGACAGAGTTCGGGCTAGCGTTAGTCGACCAATGGTTAACTATAGTCCTTGCGCGAACTTGCCCCTAGTAGGTACTTGGTTAGTTTCCTCCTGAAACATCCTATAGGGATCTTGAAAACATTATCTAGGGATGTTGACATTTACTGTGTCATTTGTTGAAATGCCGTCAAATGGCTTGGAGCGTTAACTAAACAGTGGAACCTTGCGCCATACTAGCTATCTTGGCTTTGGTGAAGCTGCGAAGCCACGAAGCAGAGCGGAGCCTGGGCGAACTCGGCGCGAAAGATTGGCGAAGCCGCGAGACCTTTTTCTAACATTTTGTGAGGCCTTGGTTGAATTTTTTATAAGGTTACAAACATGAATCGTTGTTATTTTTAAGCGCATGCGCATACGATTCAACAGGTACCCCGGAGGACTCCTATTGTTCGGCATGTAAAGGATTCAGTCGACCGTGCGTGACTTTTCAGAAATTCCGCTGAACCCAAAATCTTCATCGGGTCTCAATTTTTTTTCTCGAATTTCTTGGCAACGACAGCTCCTGTGCCAAGTTCTCGGATAACCTCATATGTTAGTATTGAACATCCAGGTCATCATTAAACATCGCGATTGTAGATGGAATTTCGACTTCAGACTCAGTATACAGATAGTCCGACACCCGCAGATGGTCCCCAAAGATTCTTGTCACCATGGCGTCATCAGGTGTCAAGCTGCGTCACATTAAAGGTGCATTTTTGAAAGCCCTATATCTCCTGAAGACATCTCCTGACGACAAATCCAATTGGGTTGAATCATTACAGACAGGAACGTGTTATAAATGTAAATTTAAGTCGTGATGACGTGCCATGTGACCTCACATTTAAGGCGCAATTTGCTGAGGTCTCGCGAGAAGTAAAGCTCTGATTCAGTTGTACTTTGTGTATAGTGTTGTGTATTATTCATGTATATGACATTTATAATGACACCGTGAATTCATGATGAAATATTATGATGAGTCATCACATCTCACAGAGCCATTTCAAAAACAGACGAAACAGCTTGTTTTCGTACACAAACACATTTCTAGCTGAATTTGTATTTCATCGGCCGATGTGCTTTGCGTAAAGATGAGATGAACGAAACGACCTGCTGTCAGTTCAAGTTTGATTGTCCCCCGCCCATGAAAAAATGCATGAAAAGTGAACAAACTACCCACTTTGTATTTCTTTACGTCTGTTAAGCAAAGTCTCGTAATCAAGTTAACGTCATCATCTGTACCGACGTTATTTTACCAACAGAGAGCGCCCAGAAACACTGACACATTTCTCGTACCCAACGGCCCACCCCTACAATTCTTTCGGTTTTGGTTCTGTTTTCAAGCTGTTTTTATACAATTTAAAGACAAAAAGTCCATGAGCATCAAAATCGCCGAACAAAGTGATTTCGGGTCATAAGGTTACCCCAAAGTAGCAACCAGGAGGGCAAAAATAGCCCAAAGGTCAACGTGTACCTACACATTTTCGACACTATAGTTATCCCTTCACCTCTGTATATTCCAAAACGAAACCACACTCCTGTTATAAGGTCACATCCATAAAAAAAATGTAAACGCACAACCTTACAATACGTAACCTTTTTCAAATTGTATTATACCCTTCTTATCTTCCAAGATTATCTCTAATTTGAGGTCTCTCTCTTTCAAAATTGTGCCCTTCCGTTGAAACGAAAAATCGCTAGATCTTTACCACTTTTATGAGCAATTGAAGCGATATTACATTCATCGATACTTGTTTTCCTTTGAGAAACAAAATTCTCCAAACCACATTTCCAAACTACAAAAGAAAAATGCCCTAAATTGCTGTAAAAATAACCTATTTAAGGGAACGAAATTATACAAATAATGAATGAAAAGAAAAGCAATGACAGTTCATGTACTATCTGGCAAGTGGCAGCGAGCTATACAAACATGAGTTGAGTGTGCTCTCGCTGTGGTGTGTATTGATATATGGTGTTTGGCGCTATATGCTACGCGCGGGCGAACTGTTGGACAGTTTAGCCGTACACTTGCGGGTGCATTGTGGTTGATTGGGGCTGGGCCCATGGTTTCGTAGTGCTACGTGCGCACAAACCATATCTCCACAGTGGCACTGAGCTACGCAATGCGATATTGTTTAGGCAGTGAGATGTACCCGCGCGTGGCGGTGTATACGTTATACCGCCAGTGGTTTTAAGGACAAAACTAGGGCCAAGTTCGGGCAAGGACCATTAGTCGACTAGTGGTTGATTTGTGACATACCTTACGCCTGCGCACTAATAGCAACGTGCCGGAACGTCTCTTGTCAAACGCTGGTCAAAATGTCATCGCAAAACTGCTGGATCCTGGCTCTCTGCTAGCGTTATGAATGCGCGCGGCTATTGGTTACCAGCGAAGCAACCAACACCAGTAGGCTGGTTCCAAATAGTCGACTAGCGTAGTCAACCGCTGCCGACTAGACAGATTTCGGGCAAACGTTAGTTAACCATTGGTCAACTATAGTCCTTGCGCGAACTTGGCCTAGTAGAGCGCCCTCTTATTTGTGTTAGTATGGTGCCTCAGAACATGTCTACGAACGCGCTCTAGGATCTTTGCTACGAACAAACCTAGTGCATGTACTGTATAAAGTATAGTACCCAGAACCATATATCAGCTTTCGAGGTACGACCTGCGATATACGAGCAGTTTTGTTAGCGGAAAATTTAGTGATGTTAGCAGATTGTTTTGTTTAGCTTGTATTTGTAAATATCTGTTGGATAATGAATACTGTTTTGTATGTAAACGTTTCAGATGAAGTGTTAGGCCTAATTGTATAATTGGTGATTTTTCGACGACTGGTGACGATATGGTGGATAATGTATGCAGAGCTGCATGGTGTATCACGTGGATATGTATACAAGCCACGTACCGGCCGGGTCTAGGTGTACCCATGGTGTATCTACCCCACATTAATGTGGCTCAAATACTCCACTTTTTACGTGTTGTTAACTATACTGGGATGATATGGGGGGCATTTGTTTAACGAAAAGTTGACAAAATTGAGGTGAAGTCATCACAACATGAATATGATGGGATCTTTGTGTTAACATCTTTTTATTGGAAGATATACACAAACTCACAGACTCACAGAGTGGTGTTTTGT